GCACACTTCCCTCACTTTGATTTTGATTTGCATCTCTCTTATTGCCAGTGGTTTTGAGCATTTCTTCATGTGTTTGCTGTCTATTTGAATGTCTTCCTCTGTGAAAACTCTTTCCATGTCTTTTTCCCATTTTGTAATTGAGTTATCAGCCTTTTTCTTTTGGGGTCCCAGGAGTATTCTGTAAACTTTTGTTATAAAACCCTTGTCTGAAATGATATTGCCAAATGTTTGTTCCCAATCAGTAGGTTTTCTTTTCACCCTGTTGGAAAAAGTTTTTGTTGCACACAGGGATTTAATCTTCAGAAGGTTCTATTCATCAAGTTTATCCTCTTCAGATAGTACATCTCTGGCTGTACTGTTAAACGTTCTTGATGATGACTTTTTATCATTATATGATGATTATCATGGTCTCTTGTAAGTTATTTTGACTTAATGTATACTTTGATGTTAAAACAATCACTCCAGTTTTTATTTTACTGCTCTTTGCATGGTTTTTGTTCCTAAGCCTTTCACCTACCTGTGTCATTGTCTAAAGAGGTCTTTCATAGACAGCATATAGTAGGATTACATGTACAATCCATTCTGCTAATATCTGCCTTTTTGATTGCTGACTTTGATTCATTTACTATTAAAGAAATTATCAGCAAAGACTTCACATTTTGCTATTTGTGTGTGTGTGTGTGTGTGTCATTTCTTCCATTTCTGTTTTGGCATTTAGTTGACTTTTCTTTGTGAGCCACTTTGATTCCATTCTCGTTTCATTTTATGTGTGTAATTTTGGGAGTTCTAGGGCACAGTCCTCTGGGAGTTGTGCTGCTAATCTTTGTCCATACCTCTCTGAAGGCTCAGAGAGAGAGGGATGGGCAATCTCAGGTGTGATTTACAGTCCAGAAACACAGTGCGGGTCAGCTACGAGTTGGTTCTGACTTCATGAAATGAGAGAAATAGTTTTGGCTATTTTCTTTGCTGTTATTGTAGAGAATAGATATAGCATCCTAGATTTATAACAGCCTTGCCTTGTGAATCACGAGTTTTCTGTCTGGCTTGTGGAAATGTGCTGCTTTTGGCCCTGTGGTCTATGGGAGGAGGGCTGCTTTTCTTTTTGGGCTTTTCCTTTCCCAAATCTTGGATAGTTTCCTTATTTACTCCTTGATGAGAATGAGAATTTAGGTGAATTCTCCAGGTCTTCTGTAGAGCTCCAGAATCTCTTTCTTTGAGGCTGATTGTTCTCTTATACTCTTGTTTTGTGAGTGGCACCTTATTTTTTTTTGACACTGCATGTTTTCAGATCTCCTTCCACAACTCAGAGAATCTTTGGAGCTCTATTTAAATTCTTCCTTCTTATGGTCTGGAAATTCTCTGTAGACAGTTGGCTAGAGCGATCTAGTTTTATTTTACCAACACCACAATTCTTCACCAGCATCACAATTCAAATCATCCATCTCTGGTCTTCCTTATTTATTGTCCAACTTACATATGCCTGAATGGCATGGCAGTTGATCATACCATGGCTTGGGTCAGGTGCATCTTAGTCTTTAAAGGGACATAAATTAAATATTGAGGCAAAATCTTTCTGAGTAGCCCATGTGATGCCCTAAGCCCACATTGCCTGGTGGGAGCATTAATTATGCCCAACCCTGTGTAAACTCTGGGGATTGTTCCTTTTAATGGTTTCGTGTGTGTGTGTGTGTGTGTGTGTGTGTGTGTGTGTGTGTGTGTGTGTGTGTGTTTTTTTTTTGTTTTTGTCTTTTGAGTAGTTTTATACATATGCTTATTAGTATTTAACTGGAGGTTGCTGCTTACAGTTCTTGACAGTTTTCTCCTTTTTGGTTCCTACCTTGAAAACTCTAACCATTGCTTTCTGGATTCTAGGCTCTGTTTCCTTTGACACAAACTGATGCTAAATGAATCCTCTTCTCTCTGCTGCTGCCTGGAAACTTTCTCAAGGCAGTTGTTGTTGTTAGTTGTTAAGTGCTATCAAATTGAGTATGACTCAGAGCAACAGATCTGAACTTGTCCTATCCTGGGCCATCCTTATCTCTAATGTACTTGATCCCATTGCTGCAACCATTGTGTTAATTCATTTCGTTGAAGGTCTTCCTCTCTTTCAATGGTCCTGCATTTTTCCAAGCATGATATCTCTTTCCAGGGACTAGCCTCTGCTAACAATATGCCCAAATTTGTGAGCAAAGCTTTGCTACCCGTGCCTCTTAAGGAGCACTCGGGATAATTGTTATTTTTTCATTTCTTAATTGCCCTGTACTGATTGACATTCAAAGTCTGGAAACAGTTACTTTTTTTTTAATGTGTCTTATACATTCCAAATCTATCTTGTATTCTTTTATGTATAAACACTTAGAGGAATAAATCTGTGCCATAGTTCTTTATGTCCAGAAGTGAAACTCAGGCATCTAGTTTTTAAGTTACATCAGTGTAATTTTTTTCATAACACTTTCAAATCTGCTTTAATTTCCTTTTCCGTCCATGTGCACACACCACTTCACTTATTGCAGCTACAAAGTCACTTGATGTTGGTCAAGTAACATTTCTTTTATCATTTTATCCCTAAAAATTGTGTTAGCATCAAAGGACAGTTAACCAGTGTTAAATCCATACAATATATACATAGCAGAGCACATTAAGCTTTAGATACTTCGCAGTTAAATCACTTAAAAAGAGGAAAAGACCCCCATTATACTGATCTTGATCAGGTATTTTCCTGTCCCTAAAATGGCATCTGTACAGTGGTTCAAAGGGCAGCAGAGACAACAGCCAGTTATTTCAGAGGACATTGAACATTATGATCTGGTAGCACATGAAGGTGTCACCCCAGTGTCACGTACCACCCACCTTTCTCCAAGGTGGTCTCATAATTTTAGAATGGCAGGTCCAGCTCATGCAAAGTGGGTACAGAAAACAAAACATTTACTCTGTATTGACATCTTACTCAGCCTGTATATTCACTGTGATTTTGAATGCTACCCATCCTGAAAATTTGTCACAGGCATCCTGGTTTTTCAGGTTGGATGCCCCTTCCGTCTTGCAGTCAAATGTGGCTTCTTTCTTCGTAACATTAAGAGGACTAAAGAATGCTTGAATGACAACGATTGGCTGCAGATACCCCATATGTAATTTCCCCCCCTAATAAGGAACTTATTTTAAGTCTGTACTTTCTGCAGAAGGGTATGTTGAGATATCTGCCATCTGTTCATTCTTTGAAGTACATCTTATCTTTGGTCCTCCTTTAGGCTTTAATCCAGTTATTTGGTTCATTTTCACAAGAATACAAGAGTTTCCTTTGGAATAGCCATAGGTAGGATAATTTGAGCCACTGCAGTCTTTAAGTAAATCCAGAGGAAACTGACACCCAGAATAAAAATGACTCTTCTGTTCAAAAAGTATTCCTTTAGCACCTGTTTTGAGGTTCTTTTGGACTATATGACTTTAGAAAATGGTCAGGGTCTTTAATGTATCTTTCATAGGAATATGTGTCAGACCAACTGAATGAATATTCTAAAGCCTCACTGGTTTTGGAAAACCCATAAGCCCTGGACTGGGAATCTGGTCGTGGTATTTGGGAAATTCATCATTCAGTGTCTGGAGCATGACCCACATTGTGAATGTGAAGAGAGCAGCCAAGAAGCCATAGAAGACTAGGTAGAAGAGCAAGATCAAACCTCAAGTCTTGGCGGTGTGCCCTAGGAACTCTCTGGTGTTGAGTTTATAAATGAAGAGCTTCTACTTGACCAGGCTCTGGTTGAAGGACTTCTTGTCTTTCTTAATCATGTTGTGTGTGTGTGTGTGTGTGTGTGCGCGCGCTCGTGTCCCGGGAAGGTGCCCTGCGGCTGCGGGTGACAAGGCAACAAGGAGCACAGAGACGCGTCCCATCCCAGCTCAAGCAGCGAGCAGCCGGGCAGAGAAAGCTTGCGACACCACCTCGCTGCATCGCATAGTACAGCAGACTGCAGCCAGCAGGGCTTAGGCGGCCACATGGGAGCAGTTTCATTTTTATAAAATTTTTGACTATTTGCTCATTTGACAGTGCCATTTTTTCTTTTGCCTTACATTTCAAGCTGTATTTTTTCTTAAATTCTTTTATTTCATTTTATTATTTTTGTGTGTGTACGGTCAAATCGGATCTGATTCGTACAGGAGAAGTTTGTCCCTCCTTTTTCAGCAGAGCATCTGGTGGATTCAAACTGTACACCTCTGGGATTGTAGTGCAGCTTCTTGCCATTAGGCCACCAGAGCTCTCTTCAAGCTGTATTTTTAAAATCAGAAGTGTGTTTCTAATTTTTGGTAGGTGCTGCCATGTTGATTCTGACTCACAGTGAGCCAGTATGACAGTAAAGTCCTGCCTGGCAGCATTTCTAAACTGTAATGTTTGGAAAAGCAGACTGCTAAGTGTTCTTCAGAGCCATTGGGTGGGTTTGAACTGTGAGACTTTTGGTTAGCAGCTGAATGCTTAAACCTTTTATCACCAGGTCACCATCTTTTACTATTAGACCTCTGAAAAGATCTGATATTAAATGTTGTGATTTAAGCTTAATTCTCTTTGTAGTTTAGCAATTTCATTTTCTTGTGGGAATATTCAGATTATCAAGTTCATTTTGTATATTTTAAGAGTATAGATTTATGTATGTGTTACTTATTTGTTGGTACCTTTGTCAGTTTTATTTCATTCTACAATTAGCAGTTCACAAATACACTAGCACATTTCTTTTTTATTCTAGTATAAGTTTGTTGTAGATACTAAGAATGTTGAACTTCTTATTGTTGTTGATTGCCATTGAGTCAAGCACGACTCTTAGCAACCCTATGAACAAAAGACATGAAGCCTTTCTCTAACTATCATTGTTTCTGAAGTTCATAGTTTCCAGAGGCATGTTGTTTAGGAAGTGGATGCTATTCCTGCTCAAACAGAATAGGAGTCTCATTGACAGAATTGTTTCACTGGCAGTGCCTTTTCTTTTAATATATTTTTAAAAATTTTCTTACAGATCAGGATGCTAATATCTAATGGATCTTCACAGTTAATCCAAGAAGGTCTCAAAAGTGGTTTTCTTTGTCCACTTTCTGAAAAACCGGACAAGTGTAGCAAACCCATTACTTTACCATGTGATACTTGCAATTTATCAGAATTGTGTGAAATGACGAAGCATTGGTCTTCTCTGCATGAAAAGGAGCCTGAGATATTACAGCTGATGGAAGATGATGCATTTGTTACAGAGCAGGATTTATTTTCACGAGTTGTTGAAAACAAATCTCCCTTCACAAAAGTAATTACATTAATGAAACAGAAATACTTGCTTCCACCAAAGAGTCGTTTTCTTTTGTCTGACATTTCGTGTATGCAACCACTTCTCAATTGTAAGTAATTGTTTTATTATTAGAAATAGATAGTTTTTCTACAATCTCAAAAGTAAAAATGTACTCTGAATTTTGAGTAAGGGTAACATTTTCTGAATGTAGGGCGAACGCTTTTCCAAGTTTCATTCTTTTAATACATTTTATTTTCATACCAATTTTACTTCATATATTTTAAATTCTAAATCCTTAGTTTGAACAAAGGATCATAAACTATGCAATTGCCAAACAAGCAAATACTACTCTCTAGTGGGGGCACTGTTTTAACATAGTCTCTAGAGAGATGTGATGCTGACTTAAAGATCATCCTTCTTTGCTGGTTCAAATTCACCAATTGCTCCTCTGGGGAAAGATGAACAATCTGTCTGTGCAATTTACCACTTCCACTAGGAGTGGTTTCTGAGTCAGTTCCAACTCCATAGTAATGACTTTGGCTAACTCTGACTCTAAAGCTAGGAATTTAATAATGTAATTATGTTTAGCCAAATAACTTAATTCTTCTTCATAGCAGAGTAGAAACATTTCAAACATTAATATTCATTCCCAAATAATTTTCATTTTTTAAGTAAAATTGTAAGCTAATTGCAAAGCTTATTGTTGAAATTTTCTGAAAATATTATCCTTTATAAAGTTAGAGAATTTAAATGCTTAAATTTACAGTTGCATAGACCTGGTTTGAATTTGTATCTTGAAGCTTAGTTAACTGTATATTTTACTAGTCACAACTTTGGTAGCTATTTGCTTCTCAGAACTGAGGCTCAGTTTCTTAATCTGTAAAGTTAACATGATAACACCTATTTCTGGGGGTTATTTTAAGGGTTCAATAAAGACATCTGTATGTAATGCTTCATTTAGTGATTTATGTATTTGAAGTTATATATATTATTAT